TGAGGTCCTCCTGCCTTCACCTGACAGGTGCTGGGGTTACAGGCATGCGCCACAATACTTGGATCAAATTTTACATCTGAGGGGAGGGGCTGAGACTAAACCCAGAATGTTCACATAGAGCTACATCCCCAACCCTATTTTTCTAAAAAGTTTTGAGAGAGGCTGTCACTAAGTCGCTAGATGTCCCAGGCTGGGTTTGAATTGGCCACACTCCTGCCTCGGCCTCCCACAGTGCTGTGATCAGAGAAGTTCATTACCACACACTGCCTACATTTTTTTATTAACCACTTTAATCCATTAGAAACAATAAAATCCATTTAGCCATTTTTCAACAATGCCCTGTTTTCAATGGTTTTATTAGGATAAAGTTCAAATACCACAACATTCACCCATTTAAAAAGCACAATGCAAAGCTTTATATATAGTCAGAAATATGAGCAACCATTACCATAGTCAATTATTTTTAGACTGTTTTGTGAAACCCTTAGTGCTTCGCTGCCCATCTTCCCATTTCTCCAGGTTTAAGCAGCCGCTAATCTATGCTCTGTCTCCCCAGTTCTGCATATTTCATATGAAGAAAATACATGTGTTCTTTTGTGACACCTTTCATTTAGCATAATGTATTGCAGGTTTTTGTTCTGCTTTACTTTGGTTTCTGTGATAATGGAGATTGAATGTAGGTCTTTGAACCGAGCTGCATTCCAAGCCCCCTTTTATTAGTGTATGTTTGTGATAATAATAAATACGCTCATGGTGTGGAACTGGCACACACAGAGAGCACACCCTCTTGATCCTTCGCGCTTCCCCCTCCACTTCCCTCCCTCCCTTCCCCCACCCCCAGATCCCCATCCCGTCACCAGCTTATCTCCCTGTTTCTGTCGTCTGTCTTTTATTTGGCCCTTTAAACTATTTATACTTTGGATTTCTCAAATAAGAGGAATCACGTAACATTCTATCTTTTGTGTCATGCTTATTTCACTTAGCATTATGGTCTCATGAAGCACCCATTTTCCTACAAACGGGTCAAATTTAGCCTTCTTTATGGCTGAGGAGTACTGTATTGTGTATGAAGGCCATATTTTCTTTATCCATGTATCTGTTGACAGACCCGTAGGCCACTTCCAAGATTTAGCTACTGTGAGTTGTGTTACTGTAAACATGGGTATGGGGCTGGGGATATAGCTCAGTGGCACAGCGCCTGCCTGGCAAGTGCAAGGTCTTGAGTTCTATTCCTGGTACCAAAAAACCCCAAAAAACTATGGGTGTGCATGTATTCCCATAATATGATGTCTGTATCTCTGGGACACACTGGTTGTACTAGTTTACATTCACGCCAACAATGTTGAAGCGTTCCTTTTCCCCCTCAGTTTTACTAACATTTGTTATTATTTTATTTAATGATAACCATTCTTTCCAGATTTAGATGGAAACTCAGTGATTTTAATTTTGTATTTCTGTAATGGTCAAAGATGCTGAACGTTTTTTCATATACTTATTGGCCATTTGTACTTCTTTTGAGAAACATCCATTCATTTTTTTGTGAGTCTTATATTTTGGGGGGTCTAATTATTTTAGTTCCTTGCATATTGTAGA